AGAGAGAGAGAGAGAGAAAGGTGGGGGAGAGGGGAAGGCGATCACCAGCCACTTCCAAGCACCCCGCCCCGCCCCACTGCCGCGCCCAGCCCTCTTCCCCGGCTGGCCAAGGCCAAGGGAAGAGAAGGGTGTCCGGGCAGTGGCCGTGGCCGAGCCGCGCTTACGTTTCCGCGCTTGGGGCCGCCGAAGCCGAAAGCGCCGCTGTCCCCGGCGCTTCCCTCGCCAACGGGCAGGAGCAGCTCCTGGCCTTTGTCCTGTTGGTCGAGGCGCTGGAGCAGCTCCTGCAGCCGCTCGATGTAGCTGATGGCGCTGCGCAGGATCTCCACCTTGGGCAGCCGCTGGTTGGGGTTGGCCACCGTCCGCCTCTTGAGGGCCTCGAAGGCCTCGTTGATCTTCTTCAGGCGCCTCCTCTCGCGCAGCGTGGCCGCCTTGCGCCGGTCAGTGGGCGCCGCTTTCTTCTTGCACGTCTTGCAGGCCCAGATCAGGCACTGGCCCGGGCAGTGCAGCGGCTGGAAGCCCGGCGGCGCCAACACGTGCTGCTCCTCGCCGCTGCTGTCGCCGCCGCCGCCGCCGCCGGGCTCCGGGGCCAGCTGGTCCTGGCACGAGGAGGGCGACAGGGTGCTGTCGCTGCCCGGGTAGAGCGGCGACCCCTCGGCCATGTCCAAGCTCTGCAGGACTCCATTCTCGCCGTCCAGGTAGAAGAAGTAGGAGCCGGATTCGAAAAGGTCCATCATGATGGGCTCGCGGGTCGCCTCTGGGCCTCCCGGGGGTGGGGGCGAGGCTGGCCACAGGCAGCCCGGGAGCGCGCGCTGGAGAAGCGGCCCGTCGGAATTTAATTAGCGCGGTGACATAAGAGCCCTGGGCTGCTTTATATATAGTAGCCCCTGAAACTCTATCCAACTTTTAGCTGTCGCCACGCATCACCCTCCTAGGAGCCGAGCAGAAAGCCAGCTCGAGACTGTGCCAGCCTGAGACTGTTAGGGGCCAGGAGGAAAGGAGGAGCAGCAAAAAAGACACATCTCCCCCCTCCCCAAAAATAAATATAAATCCAAGAGCCATTAAAAAAAAAACATGAGGGGGGAGAGAATGAATGACAAAGCTGAGTCGCTTGTCTCTGAGTGTAAAGAGTGTGGGGTGTGAAGGAAAAAAGGAGTACAGGTAATCCCTGACTGACGGCCACAATTGAGCCCCAAATTTCTGTTGCTAAGTGAGACATTGGTTAAGGCAGTGTTTCTCAACCTTGGCAACTTGAAGATGTCTGGACTTCAACTCCCAGAATTCCCCAGCCAGCGAATGCTGGCTGGGGAATTCNTTTGTAGTTCTCTATTCTCCATTGCCTTCCTATCAATTTTAACTTCTTTAATAGTGTAATAAAAGTAGTACTAGCACTTGTAATAATATCAATTGTTCGAAGCTGCTTTGAATTTCTATCTCACCTATAGGAGGAGCCATTCAATATGGTAGATCTTGACTTCCAAGCATTCTTAATTGACACCTAGATCGGGCGCTAGGTTTCTTCACCTAGGACAAATATTCATAAAGAATGGTTCTGTGAGTCAAATGTGTTTATTCTAGCGCACAACTGCAACATTGTTCCACTTTTTACATTTGGGATTGTAAACAGCAAGGCCAGCAAGCAAGTGTGTACCTTTTCTGTACAATCCTAAACGCGCTTACTGGGGCAAAACACCGTATACAACTAAAAGATTTAGGAGCAAAGTGCATGTATGTAAGAGACTGCAGAGCAAGTCACGGATATGCCACAAAAGCGGTTGGACCGTGGCTTCACCCAAAACGTCTTCAGGATTTGGATGCGCATAAGTTGAAGATTTTCCAAGCCTTTCGCATCGCTCTCAAAATAACCATCGCCAAGAAGTCTGTGTGAATGGCGGGCAAAAAAGGGCAACTTTTTGTTTTGAACCGCGCGAAACTCTCTTCTGAGGAGAAGTGTCCGACTCAAATGGAGGCCCAACCTTATTAGATAAAGACCAGAACACTTTCGCAAACCTTTCCGGGACTCTTCTGCAGGACTGGAACTCTGAAGTCCAGGACGCGTTTCCTAGGAAGTAAGACCAGAAGCATTCACTGAATTTTCTCCTCACCTAAGAACTGTATAAGTTGCAACCCCCATAATTGCAACCCAATTATGTTTTTTTTTTTTTTTTATTTATTTAGTTAGTTTGTCATTCGTGTACAAAATAATAGGAATAAGAATAAACATGAATAAGAATACAGAAAATGGGTACAAATAAATGGGGCCAGTTAGGCACGCTGGTGCGTTTATGCACGTCCCTAATTTATTCTGCATTATCAATAAACCAGGTCTGGACAATTGTCTTGTGTGTGCGTGCGTGTGTCCGGTGGGAGAGTTAACTGAATTATTGTAGAGGAAATTGCCAACTGAATTTCCCTCCTTCTCGGCTTCCCCTGATTAACTCTGAATAAGTCGTGGGAAGAAAACAACTTTAAAAAATATATATCTCCGAAGTAAGGAAACCTTCCAAGGCGGCTACTCCAGAGGCAGAAAAGTGGCCCATGGGTTCCTCCGAGGATCCGGAGCGAAGCAGCCTCGCCCGAGTCTCCCAAGAGCTGCAGCCTGCAAATCCCCGGTCTTGCCCGGGGAGGGAAAGGCGCCGACCGTGCCAGTGTTCCTTGGTGGTCGTCCCTCCCCGCCCTCCCTTGATAAACAAACTGGGACAAGTTGGAACGCCGTCTTACACAGCCTCAGAAATCGCTGCTTTTTCTACGCTGCTTTTAATTGGGAAGGGAGTCTTGTTTGTCCCGGTCTCCCCCCCACCCGCCGCTCCCGCCCCGCTGCCCCTTAACCTCTACCGCGGGGGGCCATCACCGGGGACTTGGCCAACTTTTGTCGCACTCCGGAATCCCCGGCCGGAAAGTTTGCTGACGGGAAGACCGTCCCAAAGTCCTCCCACTCCCCCCAACCACCTTAGAAAGAAAGCGGTGGTGGTGGGGGGCACATGTAAATATTTTGACAAGGTTAAGCGCTGGTGGACAATGAAAGCTGTGATTCAACATTGGCCCATATGCGCTGTTACGCGAACCCAGTAAAACAATCCTCAGGGTCTTCAGGAACTCTGCAGCAACGCGGGTTCCTCTCATCCAGCCATTCATACTTTAGTTTTGCTTGAAACGATTCCAGCACACGCATCAGGTGAGGTCTCTAACAAAGCTCGCGTTAGGGGGGAGGGGCGGGAAAGCGGGAGCTCGACTGTCAAGAGGGATCCCCAAAGGCAATCAAGGCAGCCACTGAACGTCCAGGGCCCCTCTGATCTCCTTTCCCGGACCATTTATTTCAACTGATCCAACACTAGCCGGATACCTACCAAGAGAAGAAGGGGTGGGTTTTCTTGGCCGTCTTCTACTTCACCCACGCGCTTGAGAACTTTCAAAAGTTCTTTTGGATTAAAGCAGTGTTTTTCAACCTTGGCAACTTGAAGATGTCTGGACTTCAACTCCCAGAATTCCCCAGCCAGCGAATGCTGGCTGGGGAATTCTGGGAGTTGAAGTCCAGACATCTTCAAGTTGCCAAGGTTGAAAAACACTGGATTAAAGGGTCAAAATATTGAGACCGGGGGGGGGGGGGAAGGTGTTTCCGGCGCCTGAGAGAGATCTCTGTAGCAGACAGATCCTGAAACTCCTGGATGCCCAATTTATCGCCGAATCGCCTCAAAAACCTCCAAACATGAGGGTTTTTTTAAGCTGAAGAATAAGAACCACTAAGAATTTTGGTTCCTTTTATTCATTTACTAATAACAGAAACACTTGAAGGGGAAAACAGACGTCGATCTTGGTGGAAGGGAGAGAAGGAAGAATTTCCAGATATTTGTTCATTTATTCTTTTTCTTCCAGTTTTTAACTGAATTGTCTACCGTGGACCTCACCCATTTCCTAAGAGATCGGTAAAGGGGGTGTACATATGCGCACCAGCGTGCCTACCGTCCCTGTCCTACTGCCCCCATTTATTTGTACTCATTTTCTTTGTCCATGTCCATGTTTATACGTATACCTGTTATCTCGTACATGTTTGACTAACTAACTAACTAACTAACTAACTAACTAACTAACTAACTAACTAAATAGAAAGATGAAAAAAATTCTTGATGGAGTTTTGTACAAGAGATTTATTTTACAGGCTTGGGAATGTTACCTACATTTTCTTATATACAAGATCACATCCCACATTTTAAATATATTCTGTTAAAAAAGGAGAAGTACTAAAATTACATACTTGTAATTTTATAACACACACACATTTACACACTCACACCCACAGACACACAAACCAAGATCTCGGGATCATCAGCTTCCTTCAAACAGGAACGAGCGTTTCAACAAAGATGTTCTCCAAACACAGTGATATATTAATTATAAAACAGTTGAGAGATAAATAAAAAATAGAATTTAAATCAGAGAGGGGCGGTTCCCTTTATCGGTCGGGCAAAGCTTCCTCTGAAGAAGGTGCACGTTTATTTATTCAGCTGCGCTGCCCTCCTTTATCCCCTCTAGCATTTCCAGAATATTAAATTAATTCGAGGTTTCGCTTCAAAGTGCGAACTCAAGCAGTTCCTTCCACGGCCCGTTTTAAAAAATGCTACCGGGTTCCTACTTTTCCACCATTTCTTCCCCGTTGGGTACTTTGCGGTCTTCGGAAGAGATACTGTTCACGATAGAGGAAAGGCAGCGGAGGCTGCTCGAGGCTGAAGAATCCACGGGAGTCCCTCCTGTTTTGGAATGAAGGGGAAAACGTTAAGATCCAAGATGCAGTGAGGGTAAACAGCAAGGAAGTCAACTTTCCACCATTGCACGTCCCCCAAGAGCTACCCTCCTTTCCGCTCCTAGTATTTTAATCACCCTCATTCCACTGGTTAGCACCTTCCAGACTTTTATGGCCGCGCCCGCATTCGGGATCTAAAAATCTCACCATCATTGGCACCTCCAGTCTGGTGTGATACAAGAACTGAATGGCCGTTGTCAAAAACAAAAAACAAACAAAAAAAAAAACCAGAAACGGATGCTGCTGCTATGACCTCCATGCAGTTCTCAAGGTCTTTATGAAATCCTCGGGTGTGTGTGTGTGTCAAGTTCGATTCCATTATAATTTGACCTTAATAATTCTGAACGTTTTCGCTTTCTTTCAAGGAATCATGTAAGCGCACAATGTGACATACATGCAGCTAGCATGCAACTCGTTGAATTACAACCCCCCCCCCCCCAAAGAGTCTAGGAAAACGTGAGCCATAGTAAATTGTCTTCGGTTATTTTAATCAAATCAAATTTAGGGCCAAATAGGCGGCTAAACTTATGCTTTGAAACCAAGTTTTCCCATTTCATTCAGTGGGATCTGTGATCTCCGAATCGGTCTGTAAAGATATAATTGGGTCCTAGAGCTCAGCTGTTTCGGAAGCTGCCAGAGTCCTACAGGCATTTTACTTTAGAGTTCTAAACTTCGAAGCCAGCTTTTAACACGCCAGTTGCCTTGATTCTTTAAAAAGGAAAAAAAAAAAGATCCGGCTGTACAAAACGTTTGTTTTGATTCTGGACCTGAGCTGCACGGAAAATAGATGGTGCTCTGGGTGAGTAGATGCATTCTAGATATAAACCCCGGTCACAATTTTAGGCTACTTAGTTATCCTGTTGGCTCATTGCAACTTTCAGACGCGTTTGCCTGAGGCCCTTTCCGTCATCTAACAGCCACTCCATTTTATTAACTGTG